CTCAAATCCCGTTCATCTCGGCTTTTCCCAAAAACGACATGGAGCACCACAAGGAACAGGAAGCCGGGCGCCATCGGATGAGGATTCTCTTTCAGCAGAGAGAACTGGATCGCGGCAGTCTCCAACACAAACGAATATTCAAGACCGCCGAGGAAGAGGCCAAGCAGGCCAGGCGATTCACCCCCAACGCACAGGCGAGGAGTCAGCGGGAGCTGACGGCAAGCCGTGGTCAACCTCCAGTGTTTGACGAGAACATCTGGAGTGGCGAGAGACGCAGACCAGCTCCCAACGAAATCCGTTCAGTCAGCCCTCGGACCCGTGTAGACAAAGATGGCGGACGTGCTGCGGGCAGCGATGCTGGTGGTGACGGGAAGAAAGGAACCGCCAGCGGCGACCAGGCTAGAACAGCGTCAGGGGCTTCTCACAACGGGGACAAGAACCCACACAATTCTGGCTCCACCGACAAAAAGATGTCCTCTTGAAAAACATTCATCTGCCCGGCAGGTGACGAACGGTAAGCGCCTTCATTTCTTTTTGTGGCATTGACCGGGAAACCAGTGACTAACTCTTGTCCGTCTTTACAGCTTCTATTCATATCCCGTAGACTTTGTGGGATGCACCCAAAGGTACTGGAAAGCCACACGGATTGATCGTCCACCAGATGCACTTTGGAATACGCACACTCTGAACTACCGCAATCATCTTTACTCTAGAGCCATCATGTCACGGTTTCAGGGGGCATCTCAGCCTTGGCCCATCCCTCGAAATGCAAACTCATACACCGCTTATCTCTATCTCCACCCCACGAAAGAAAAGAAAACGACCCATTGGTGACGACCATGCCCCAGTTTCTGTCTTTTGGGCGGGAAAACAAATATGAACTTTAGAACACAGCACAGAATGGTAAGGAGAATGAGGTGATGGATGCTCCACTTTCGGTCTTATCGTCGTTTTCAGGAGTAAAAAAGAGTCGGTTAGCCAGGCCAGTCAGGCAGTCTACTAGCATTTTTTGGAAATGGAAATGTAAAGAAAGTCGAAGTACTGCAAGGGCAAAACTCTTTGATTCCTGCGCCACAATCTGATCTCGTCTTGTCCAGCTCTGTCTGGATGGAATGACCGATTTGTTTTTGTCTTGTTTTTCCTTTTCTTGTATCCCTTGCGGGCCTCGTCACGAGTCCACCACTTGCCTTTTAACGTCAAGTCAGGCCATGCTTCCGCAAGTCGACTAATGCGCCTGATACCTTCCTGGCTTTGCCGGGACCCTGACTCGGGCTTTGAAGATGACTGCTATCATCCCGGCCGAGCAGCGAAAAAAGCTCTCGGTGTGAAAAGAAAAAGTTCCCCCTACATTTGCATAGCCAGCCTCAAGGGCATCCAGCCATCCGAGCGCCAACCGAAGACCCCTTTGTCCGTGTGACTCTTCATACCTTCCAGATCGCGCCAAACAAACAGTCGTAATAGGAGCAAATCCACAATGAGATATAACCATGACCTCCCTGTACCAGCCTTCGCCATGAACATGTGTCTGCCATATTCCTCTCAAGTCGAATCATGCTTAGAAAGATCGGCACCATCTTCGTCACATCTAGTCTTCACTTTCACTTTCATCATCGTGGTCCCTCTTCAGGCCTCTCTTCTCATTTTTCTGACCCTCGTCAATCATCCTCAGAAGGTCACTTACATAATCCCGCAATGTCCGACTGACGCTCAACACATGAAAGAGTCCATACTTATGAGCTCCAAACAGCCTCTCGTTAAGCTGAACCCCGTCCTTCTCAAAAGGCTGGCCATGCTTGTTTGCATATCGCGCCAAATTCCGCAGAACCATGACACTCATCCAGGGTATGCCGCAAGGATGGAAGGTCTGATCCATTGCCGTGTAGTGCCATTCGTGCTTCATCTGGACGGGGTCCGAGTCTTTTACGTCTTGCGCCAACGCGTGAATGATGTTAGATTGCTCGCTAGCCGCTGAGGGGAGATGCACACGGAGATGAGGGCCAAGCTGGTTGCTCTTGGTTATTGCAGATTGGCGCCCGCAATGTACCCAACGGCAGACCCATTCACCGTCGATCGCCTTGAAACGTCCATCGGGAAGTTTTTCAATTCTCAAATGGTCCGTCAGAACATGGTTCCATAGAGTTTCGCGTCTTGTATGCCAGACAGGACATATGTTTCGGGGATGGACCCGGCCGCTTGGATCCTGCATCTCAGGACGAGACATATCCCAAAGACATTTGAACAGTGGTCGACCTTGAAGATCGACGAGAATCCTCCGTGGCTTGATCCCCTTGATGATGAATCTGGGCGTTGGACCATTAATCACTTGCGCCTGTGCTGAGACGAATGTGTTGGACACATTCTTGATGAAGTCAGCCGCAGGTACAGGATTGTTCTGTGCGAATTTTGCCTGGTATGCTTGCCAGATTGCGATTTGCGTAATGTCATCGGTCGGAGACTCCTCGAAGCAACACCGGAGCCACCTTGATGAGCGTTCAGGCTCGACAAATTGCAGAAGATGTGCGTGCACTTCAGGGGGAATGATGGGAATCGACGCGGGAACTGACGCGGCTTTGGGGGTTGGTTTCGCCACGACGCTCTCTTCGTGTATGATGGACTGGTAGAGCAAAAGACTCGTAAGGCGAGCAATGACGTTTGGTAGAAGATGGAAAGCGTTCGAGAGGACTTCTGTATTATTCTCTGGAATAGCCGTATATTCGTAGAGAAAATCAAGCGTATTCTCCAGCAGCTCATTGTCGTCAAGCAGGGTGAATGAAAATAAACGTTCGACCGTCGATAGAGGCACGTCAGTGAGGCGATGCGCATCGGCCAATTCGAGGCCGATTCTGTTGATTGATCGCAAGGCGGAGATGATCATACTCCGGTCATCGGACTCGAGGTATGGAAGGAGTGACATATAAAGCGGATCTTGGGGTTTCATTTCCCAGTACCTGGTCACTTGCTCTGCAACTTCGAGAACCGACTGTTTGTACTCGATGATCCGAGGTTGGTTGGGGAGTGAAAGGGCAATGGTGAGGAAGTCCCTGAACAAGGGAAACTTGGAGATGAACACAGCGTTCTCTTCGAGGATCACCATGTTGCGGAGGACGAGTACAGCCTCCTTTAACTTGTCCAATCTCTCGCAGAATTCGGCAGACTCCAAATCTTTGTCCACGACCTTGGGGTGGACAGCTTGTATGCGTTCGAGCAAGTTTGAAGTCCCGAAGGCCGCATTCAACGTATTGAGCGGTTGACCTTCATCATCTTCCTCGTAAGTTATTCCCCATCTGACGCCACAAATCAGTTGTGTGATCTCCAGCGCCTTTTCCAGTAGAGCCTCAGCAAGATGAGGAAATCCCTCGAATTTGTACTTGTCACCCCGCTCAAACGACACTTTGACCAGGTGGTGTAAGGCAAAGTCCTGCTCTTCTCGGAGACCTGACTCCAAACCATGGAGACACCTCAGGTATATGTTTGGGCCATTCAAACCTGCTGGGATGAATGATTTCAGGAATTGCTGTGGCTCGGGGGGAACTCGTGGCGCGTTGACGGCTTTGGCATGCGCCTTGCGAGCATAGTATAAAGGATCATTCCCCGGAGTGTGGACTTGTCGAAGGGTCAGCGCAACAGGCTGTCGTGGCTCGTATTTGTCAAACCAGTCAAAGCTCGAGTTGCGCGGGTCATTCGAGGTATTTGTGTAAGGCTGTTGTAAGGAGGGCGGTGGAGCAGAGGGAGAGTCTGTTGCGCGGAGAGTGCGACTGCGTGCAGGTGCTATCTCTGGCTGGAAAAGCTGAGTGCGTTTAGGGTCTTGTCTCAATTGACCTGCGAGAATCATGTTAACGTAGCCAGAATCGTGTCAGGGTAGGTGTCAGAACATACGGGTGGGATATCTGCTTGCGCTTCCTTGCTCTTCTGGTTCAGTCTTCTCACGCTTGGGCGTGACCTGGTTCTCATCTTCGCCAGAGTCTACATCTGGTCCTCCGCTGTCCGCCATGACAGGCTCGATCGCAGCGCGAGAGTTGGGTACAGGGTAGTTTGCAAGGGTTCGTGTTCGCAGATCGCCTCCTTTTGCACTAATATCTTCCAGGATTTCTCGTGGTGGCGGCTCCTCCCCCCAATATGTAGCGATTTCGTAGGCGCTTTTGAAAGAAAAACTCATGTCAGAGAAGAAGGAAGACGTGAAAGTGCAGTCTTATTTGGTGTCACTCACGCAAGATTCTTGTAATATACCGTTTTGAGTTGAAATGTCATGACTGCCTCATGGGTCTTGCCAAAGCCAAACTCCTTGACGAGCGTTCGCCACTGCATTCGCTCAGCAGACAAAGCGTCATAGCCCCCTCTGTCCATGACCAGTTTGTACAGCTTGAACAGAGAGATCGGCCGGCCGCTAACCTTGCCCTCACGGTCGAAGGGTGTACTGTCGCCGCAGCGCGTGCACTGTCAGCAATGTGGTCGATTCGTGCTCGCATCGAATACCGACTCACCCTCTCTTCTCATGGAATTCGGCCACGTCACGAAGGAATTCGTCCTCATCCTCAATCATCTTCCGCGGAGGATCTGCCATGTTGGCTATTGCGCAGCTCGAGGGGACTCGGTTCAGAAGGTCACCGGCTGATGTGTGCTGGAGAGCACGGGGTCATGGCGCTGCAGACAGCGTCCGATGAGAAGGAACAACGATTGTGAAAACGAGAGATGAAGAGGTTGTGATAAGTGTCGCAAGGGATCGACGCGATGCCCTTTGCGCATTTTGCGCATTTTTCCCTTTTGAAGCGACCCTTCACTTTTCGGCTCCAGCCGCGCGGATCAGCATTTCCGACTGGCCGCCGCCTCGCCCAAAGACCCAGAAAAGCGGTTCCATCCCTCGTCGTCGCCCTCCGCTTCATTCACACTTGGTCCTTGGTAATATTCAACTCCAATGACACACTGCTCCAGCATTCTATGCCACCATTTCTTCCATATCTTCATGGTAATGTCCTATTGTAGCTCAGTGCAGTCACGTCACCATGCCTTCGCAAACAACTGCAAACATCTCGCAATCATTTCCTTTGTGTCTCCCTCTGGAGAAATTCTCCTATGCTACTATGCCGAATGAAAGCATCCTTCCTATCCCTTGGATCCATCTCCATAGCAAAGATACTCTCTTTGCAATCTTTGAGACCACTCCAGTCCAACTGGAGGATGGTCGAGTTGAGGAGAGACAAATGTTCAAAGTCTTGCATGATCCCGAAGTCATGGTAGAGATAACCGCTTCAGAACCTCTCTGTTCACACCGCGTACAGGGCTCATCAGCTTACAGGAAGAGCTCGACCTCCATGCTTTGTCGGTCGAGGCACATCGTGCTATAAAGCAGATCCCAAATGATGCAACTGACACTGTCCCTCTCGTCACCGTCTTATTCCAAGTGTCTATCATTGCGATTAAATACCCTTTGCCTTGTGGACAGGTGACTAAGACCCATATCCAAGCCTTCATTGCTCACCAGACTTCAGATCCGACGATTTCAAATTCGCTTCTCCAAGGAGGAAGACTACTGCAAAGCGATGAGAATACTTTCGTGGGCGAATGTGCCTATACTTGATCCCGCCACCTTTCCAACTCTCAAGTCACGAGCAGCGACAAGGGCAGAAGCGAAGAGGTCGGCTGCGCCAAATCCACCAGCACCCGGCGACTCTGCGTCTCAGAACGAATCGTCACTGGCCGGCAAGAAGAAACACACTGCAAACGATGACATGATTGCTCTCTCGCTGTCGCAGCCAGGCCCGGGAGTGCAGTCTGCAATGCCTCCCCCTCCTCCACAGATGTTTCTGGCGCCACCACAGTCAGCACAGTATTCTTCGAGTACACTGCCACCGCCCGCCCTTGGGCCTACGTATGCCAATTCAAACGTTTCACTCAGCACGGCCACCACTCTTGTTGCCGAGAAACAGCAGCTCAGGACCCACGGTATGCACAGCCGAACAGAGCCCGAAGGTGCTGGCGACTCACATGGCCGACGACTAACAAGAGCGTTTCATGATAGCTCTAGGCTTCAAACCTCCAGGGGGGGCACAGGCCTAGGACTCCGCGGTGGGCACTTAGCATCGAGGCCAGTGACTTCTGAAGTCAACAACCAGACTTCAATGCAAGGAGGCGAAGACGGCAATCCTATCAGTAGAAAGGGGGGAAATGGCAAGGCCGGCACGGATGTGGGAGTCGACACAGAACTTACCACCATCGCATCCACAGAGGGTCGGCGAAAGCGAGGCGCAACGAACAAGACCGCAAAAACTCCAGCTACAAAAAAGCCCCGATCCGCTGCAACACATAAGAGGACTACAACCACCACAAAGAAAGCCCAAGAAGACAAGGGAGTGCCGACTGTTGATGAATTACATCAACAACCAGAATACAGCATGCTGCCGAACAGTACGATCATTAAGCCCCGAAGCATTCCACGTACGGCAAATAACTCGACCGGGTTGAACCAGACTGGAAGCATGGAAATTGACGAAACAGAGTACGAGGCAGACCACGCCCCGGCTCAGGGCAGTCCATGCCTCGGCGGCACGGTCAACCGGCGTCTGACTCGTTCTCAAGCACTTTCGTGTGTTTCGGTAGAACCTGTCGAGGACAGAGACCGAGACGTCTACAATGCGGCGCTTACACCACGTACGCCAGCAGACCAGATCATCATTGACGCTGCGACTCCAGCGTCGCCAGCCTTTCAGGGCCACAACATCTCCCTCGCTCAACCCAAATCATTCTCGTCCCACCAGGAACCACAAACATCTCTGCATTCGCAAATCCCACAGTCTTCAGCACCTGCTCCGGTCGACGTCGCCCTCCTAGGTCTCGCACAGGAGTGTCTCTCCGCAGATCCGGCATTCGACCTTTCCTCCGCCCAGTCGCGCCTCGAGACCTGGTGCAGGCTACCCGAGCCGACGCAAGCGACAGCGCTGAGATCTTATTTCTGTGATTTGATCATGACGGATGGATTCGCCCAGCTGTGCAAGACCGTGGATGTGTTTTAGGAAGGCGCAGTCCTCGAGGGGAGGATGTCGATGATGACCTCAACTTCAACGACGTCGACCGCACCGACGTCAGATGCTGGTTCGACACATGAAGCGGACGAAGAAGAGAAGTAAGAATGTAGAACGACAATCTAGGAAAAGGCAAAAAAAAGGAAAGGAATCGGGCAGGAAGGCAAGAGGTTGAGAAGAAGGCCGGCGAAATACAATGCACCAAAAAGCCAGGGAAAAGTGGAATAAATCACGCAGGAAAACAGAAAGGCGGGGGATCAAAGAGATCTGAGAGTGCTTTCTTCAGTCGGTAGCACCACCATAGACGGATCTGAGAATCACAGAGGGGAAGCCAACTGGACTGAAGGAGAAGAACGAAAAGGAAGAATGAAACAGAAAGGAGAAAAGAATGTCAGCAAGAGGCAAAGCAGGAGGTGCGCTCCAATGCGGAAACGGAATTCACTCTAGACTAGTAGTCGTCAACGTGTACGAGTATGTATGTGAATTTGAGCTTGTGGGACTAGAAAAGAGAAAAGAGAGCAATGTACTACTTAGTAGACTGTGAGGGCTTGAAATGTGGATGTTCGACAATGGCAGTGATATCACGGTAGTTACAGACACGGAGATCAAGACAAGGAATGAATGGCCTTCTGCGTAGGTGGAAATGCAGAAAAAGAAGCGTATCAAACCAGTAAACCAGCCTTGTGTTCATGTTGGCCTCATTTCTTGTTAGCTATCTATCCGTGCCACAGGGAGTGCTTCCCTGCTCTAATCTATCCAATAGGCTTGCTAATGCTGATGCTCGTAGCGAACCGAGTTGCTTGTGTGAAACAATGCGCACACGACTCAGCCTCTGCCGGGTTAGGCTGCACCAGCAGGTGTGATGTTTCGAACTGGAGATAAACTGGCTGCCGGCCCGTTCATTCTGTTCGATGCTACAACCAACCAGCCAAACGCCTGTGAACAGTCACAGATAGCCTGCCCAAGTATTCGAACAGTTGAAAAGGGTACCCAAGATACACAACACAGAGTTGCCAGGTCGGAAAAACAGCACAGCAATCAAGAAATACATGGCCTGACAGCTGATTTGAGAAGAGCGAGGAGTTTGCTGAAGCGAGAGATCAACAATTGTGAAGAAGTCCAAGGTTTGAATCGGTTTGGATTTTGTTCCATTTTAGGGTCGCAAGGGTGATTCTGCCTGAGGACAGTCCCATATCTGCGACTTGACAAGTACACACAAAGGCGTTTTGAAAAAAGTTGAAAAAGGAAAAGGTGGTCCACCATCTGGACCAATTCGCTCTGGTAGTGGTATCGTTGTCTCCAAGCTCCAACGCTGAAGATCGTCTTAAAACGGTAAAGAAAAATGTCATGTGCAAAGTTCCTCCAACCAGGACCCGGTCAGCCAAGCTCTGCCTACTCGCTGGTATAGCAGAGTGAAGGACAAACAAAGAACAGGTACGAATTCCGGGGTTATTACTCGCTAAAAGCTCAAAAGGTGAACTCCGCGAGCAGGTCGCATCCAAGGCTCAGCTCATCCGACGCCCAAATGACCCCTGAAAGATGATGTAACACCGTTCCTAACGCCGGGCTAAAAACGCGATTGAGGTTGAAGAGGGGGAATACCGCTAATATGACAGCATTCGATGGTTGCGGGCGCGCAGGGCGTCGACCCCAGGTCTTGGTCCAGCAACAGGGGTATACTGTAAAGTCATGTCCAGGTCCATGTCGCAGTCCAGGGTCCTCCGTCCCATGGCAGTGGGACTGGAGTCGAGAGAGGGCGAATGTTGGCCAAAGGCAAACGTCTGGGCTCGGAGAAGTTTGGATCGTTGTTTCACTTTTCCGAGACCACGTTCACAGTCGAGCACATATTCTTTTGCATCCATTTCGACATAGTTTTGAGGATAGCATCGGGATCGATAGTCCTTGAAGAAAGTGCTATAGCCTCCATCTAAGATGTAGGCTTCAGGGTATGTGAGCGCCGGGTAGCGATCAGCATTAACTGCCCGGTCTTTGTTGCGGATGTATTTCGCCATAAGAGGGGCTCGATGAGCAGAATATTCACAGTGAAAGATAAGGAGAGCCCTCGGAGTCGGCTCCACGTCGAAAAGTTGAGCAGACAGCTTTTCCTTGTCGTTGAAATTTACAGCCCCTTCAATATGACCACCGTCATACTCGTACTCGAATCGGCAGTCGATGATCACCCGTTTCTCATACAGATGATCGAAATGTCCATCTAGGATTGAAACCATAGTCTCCTTTGATATCCTAGGCAGACAACCTGTCTCATCTTCCGGGACGAAGTGGGGTAATTGAGGAACATGAGGTGCTTCGACGTCCATGATCGAAGGTAATAATGGTGGAGGGCTGAGCCGTTCTTTTTCTTGCTTCATTATGTCTTCTGGGTGTTCAAACATGCTCAGAGATCGTCGGAACTGCTTTCGAGGTCTGACCAGAGGGTTGGAAGTCTTTCTCATGTGAGTCCCGACAGGAGATCCATTACGAGACGCATGACCAGAACTAGTCAGACTCGGGCGAGACCTTGGAGGGGCGAATACTGGAGCACCTAATCGTGAGGCCGCTTTCTCCTGGCCGGGCGAGTCTGCAAATATCTCGGACAGAGATAGTGAGGACGATGTTGCAGGTTTGCTTGAGTAGTTGCCATTGCCGAATTTGAATGGCGGTAGCTGACTTTCGGGTGTAGGCCTCTGGGCTAGGTTGCCTGTACTGAAGCCCTTAGCTCTGGTTAATGTAGGTCGCAAAAACCCTTGTTTCCGCCTATCCTGAGGGAGGTTGATCTGAAAAGGCTCGGTGGGCGAACCGCAAGGCGGCGAGGGGATCGACAATAATGAAGTATCCGAGGGGGTCAGGTCTGGCGTTGGTGACTGAAGCTGTATTGACGCTGTACAAAAGGGCATCTTGTGCGGTAGGGGTGAGATGTCCATGTCCATGTCCATTATGTCATTGGGTGCGGGAGAGGAAGATGGTATAGGAGGCGTTGTCAGGTTTCCTTCGTGGACCGTCAATTGGGAGACTCGTGCACCAAAAGCATTCATTACTCACTTTGGCCGTCCTGTGCGAACAAGCTATTGGGAAAGAGTGATCTCCGCGGAGTTGGGACTTGCGGACTGAGTTCTTGTTAGCACTGAAGTGAACGGCATTCTTCCATTGCAAGCTGGGGACAGACCTCTGGTCGATGTGGAAGTTTTGTGAAAGGTCGGCAGCCAGGCTGGCCGTGGGCGAAGAACCCCGGACCGATTTGAGGCTGAAGTAGTCCGACTTTGGCTTCTTCATCGATAGATCTCTAAAATTGAAGCTGTTCGTAGCAAAGGATTTGGCAGCCGCGAACGACGACGCAAATCCTGGAGGAGCATCCGCTCTGTAACCACCACCGCAGTGCCCCAAAAACGCCGGGGGTTGCATGGCGGCCAATGGTGATGAAGCCTCAATCATTTTGTCGGATGACGAGACCTTGACTCAAATGCTACCTCTTATATTTCCATTGACAAGCCACCCTTCCAGAAGCCTCGTCAGTGGACGCCGTTAGAGAAGGCGCTATTCGTTTAGACCTCGTCCGAGGGGGTCGGGTCGTACAAGGACGTCGAGGTCGAAATCTCGGTGGAGGTGAACGCAGTCCTGACCGGCGGGTGTCAATCGAGGCTTGGGCAGGTTGATACCGGTCGCTTCTAAGCAATCATACTGCTCAAAGGTCCGTGGGTTCGTGGTTATGTTGTCGACTGTCTGTCTGCCAGTGATGATCAAGGCGAAGATGAAGTCGAGGAACCCAATGCACAACGGAGACACCAGACCACCGAGCGAGGAGCCCCTTCTCGCACTGACAGGAGACAGAAGACTGAGAAGAACCGTCTAACCTGCAGCTCGGTGGCTTGAAGAAGGAGGGGAGAAGGAGAGTTTTAAGGCTGGTGCAAAGTCAGGTCTGTGTTGTTGCTGGGCAGCATTGAAGTTGGAGAAGTGGGCGGGCGACGGTGGGAGCAAAATCAGCTTAGCCGGCCTTCACTGGGCCTCGCTGGGAGCACTGCAGTCTGCAAGGTACAGAGACCAAGAGACCCAAAGGGCCTAGAGACGCACTGCGGGGCCCGCCTGTGGTAGTTGCTGTGAATCCAGAAGTCTGGTTGGCGCCGAACAACGGCTTGGCTCTGTCACTGGCACTGGCACTGACAGCCGCTGGAGGCACTGGATGATCCCTCCTACTCGTGAATATGGGTCGAATAATCAAGTATAATTACCGCCAGGGGAGTTACCGTTCGAAACGAGCACACGCACATGTCCCATTGACACACAGACCAGAATTCTAGGTACTTCAACCATACGAGTACCGAATAGTCTACCTACTCAGGGAATTCACATGCCTTAGGGGCAGCTTGGAGCAGGTACCTCAGCTGCGCCGCCCCGACGCCCGTGGCGGATTACCCATTCCTGCTTAACCTGCTTAACCAGAACCCACCGTCGCCCTCGGGCTCCACCTCCACAGCCTAGAAAGGCCCCAGTCTAACAGGTCAAGTTTCTGTACCTGGAGCCTCGCAGTGGGCGACAAGGTCTAAGGCCTACTACCTATAGGAACCTTAAAGCCTTTAACAATCTTTGTCCTTGTTAGAGCTTTTCTCCACCTTGATTGCAACACCATGTTTTTTCAGGTTCCTCGTTTTATCACACGCCCACTCAGCGGTATCCTCATCATGGACTCTATCTACTGTTCCCCGTCACCCAAGCTGTCTTGCAAAAACGATGTCATAGCCTCGATACCATCTTCTGATCGGCTGATCACCACCCGATGATCAAGCCCAATTGTCGGTTCGCAATATTGTCGACCCATATTTGGATCTCGATTGAAAATCTTTTCCTCAGTTCATCTCTGTAGCGCTTCGCAACACCGTCCTATCCGGTGCGTCGCTCTCAATCTATCACACAGGATGGAGAGCTACTCATCTGGGCACGAAACCTCTTCTCACAAAGCTAACGCTCTGTTAGGAAGGCTAAAGAACCTTCAGCGCATC